ACCTTACGTGGCGGGTCATGAAATCGTATTTGCAACAAAAAGGCAAACTACTCAGGCTGATCGCATCTCAAAATCGGAACGTCATTAATTTCAATCATGAAGGAAGTGGAAGAGATCGACATTGACAGCACTAAAAGCATTTGACATCGTTTTAGGTGAAGAAGAATCAGAGAAAGAAATTAGCCCTCACATGGCATGAAATCTGTTGCAGAAATCGCAAAATAACCTTTACACCAATTTTTGACTGTATTTGTTCACCGATTGAGCCGAGCAAGCCGTTTTCTCTGGGAGTCTTTCCATATTTTGTGTTTTGCTTCGCTGAATGTGTTATTCCAGCAGGCCAGTGAAGCTACAGATCTTAGAAACGCCTGTCATTGTAGTTCATTCAAAGCAGGCTTATTGCAGCGGCTTGTTTATACACCAAAATTAACTGCCTCATATTTGCAAATCATACAAGGACTAGGATATCATGGTGTCTGAGAGTTGGAGGAAATCGCTTTTTTTTCATCACAGGCTTTTTATAATAATTATTAGTGATTCTGACGAACGTACATGCGCGAGCTATTTACATTCCAATGCATCCAACGAAGATAATGACATCTTGTTGACAGCTCGTTGACAGGTTAATTACAAGGGGGTGGAATGGCGGGCTTCAAAGGAATGTCTATAGGCTCTGTCGCCCCTTTCTCTCTCTCCCAGGCTCGCTTTCGCTTGCAGTTTTCTTTTCACCCCTTCCCCGCTGCGGAGACTATTCATAGGCTAAGTAACTGTCAACAAGTCAAGTTTCCCTAGGGCAAAAGTGCAGTGTGACCACAGCTATTGTTTATTACCTGCATTTAAATTGGGTTCTTTCTTGCTGTTTCCTAACTGTTTGTAAAACTAATGGAATGTATCACTGAAATTTACCCTAAAAAGAGGTTCTCTCAGACGTTATTGATACGATTAATAATTTATTAAAGGGTTGGGCACCTATTTGTATTTTTAAGCATTTTTCACCCTTTTTAGCCAAAAAAATGGTAAAGATCATCTAGTTTTTATGCCCTTTGCATGGATACAATGTATGTCAGGTTTCTTTTTTAAACAATATTGTAGAAATGGTATTGAAGGGCAACCCTCAAGTTGGGCTGTTGTTAAGAAAGCTCTGCTTGTTGCTATCATTGGCAGAATTTATGTTAGTATATATTTCTACTGTTGCCCCGGGTGCAACTTCCAAATAAAAGTGACAGTGGTGAGCGTTGTATCTTTTAGGGGTTAAAATATGTGGTTTCCTCTGGTACTGCTTAGGGTGTTTAAATCTAAAATGACCATAGTTAGAGTTACCCCAGTACCTTTTATTAGGTGGAAAAGATATGACAGGAACCAGTTTTTAGGAGTGAAAATGGATGCAATACTAATAGCACATGAAAGTTGTAACATCTGCAGCTTCTTGTTGCACGGATATGGGATGTAATATATCAAATCATGAAACATAACAGTGTGTAAATTTTTTGGAAAAAAATTGAGGTGTTTGACATTCCATCATTCTGTGATAATTCAGTGACATCTGTGATAATTCTGCGAATCATCTGTGATTATCATAGATGGAATAGTAATAATCTTCTTGAGAAAGCTCCTTTGTATGAAATAACCCTAGTCGGTTCCTAGTCGGACTGCACTGATTCCCTCCACCCCCTCTATTCTCTACTTGGAGGGTATAATATAGCACCTCCAAAAATCTTTCCTTTCAGGTACACATCATGAGACGATGACATCAAAATTATGTCATGATTCCCGAACAGCCACCATCTTAGATTTCTTGATATTTACAACACATGTATGTAATATAAAGAAAACCACCACCAAAAATGACTCAAAAGTAATCAAAAGCAATCAAAGAAATGCTAAAATAGTCTAAAATGGTAAAAGGTATTGCAAGAAAGTTATTTTTCAATTAAAAAAACATGCCTGTCAAAATATGGTTGCCATGGTAACAGCAAGTTTTGCGAACAATGACATGTTAACTTATACATGGTCTAATTATTGTTAGCAGATAAATTTACATGTACCAGTAGGTAAAGTCGAAAAGTTTGGCAGCTTTTACTTCAGTTAAGTTAAAGTCCAGGAGGGCCGAAATGCCCCCTGGATCTGAATTTAAGGATTCAAGAGTTCTTCATCTGACATGCTGCAAATGTTTGGTTTACAATGAATGGATTATAAAATGAGTTTATTTTATAGCAAACTCTCTTTTGAAATTCACATGACCATGGAATATTGTTTTCTTCTTTTAACAAAATATAACATTTATTATTTTTTACAGTTTGTTTTAACAGGTGTTGTCAATGTCTCAGACAGAAGTGGAAATACGTGTAGCGTCAGACACTGTATCAGATATGGAGAAAAACAAATGTGACCAAGGAGAGGAATCCTCATCATCTGTTAAAGTTCCAGTGAGTAGTATGATGATGTCAGACACCAAAGAAAAGGGCTACAAATGTATAGAGTGTGACCAAGATTTCTCACGAGCTTCAAATCTCAGAGTTCACAAAAGAACACACACTGGTGAAAAACCGTATCAGTGTTCTGAGTGTGGTGAGAGTTTTAGGATTTCAACCCATCTTACAGTGCACAAGAGGTCACACACTGGGGAGAAACCATACAGATGCCTGTTTTGTGACAAGTCTTTTTCTGCTTCGTCGAATTGTAAGAGACATCAAAGGACACACACTGGGGAAAAGCCATATAAATGTCCCGAGTGTGGTAATGGTTTCACAGATCCATCACATTTACGCAAGCATCAACACGCTCATTCTGGTGTTAAAGCCTTTAAATGCATGGAATGTGGAAAGTGTTTTGCCACTGCACCTGAACTTAGGAGACACAACAGAACACACACAGGAGAGAAGCCCTATAAATGCACATGGTGTGATAAATGTTTTTCAGATTCGTCCAATCTTCAAAGACATCAAAGGACACACATTAGAGTTGCACCACATGAATGTGCTGGACCATCCCAGGTTCATGCACATAGCTCAACAAATGCAGAGGGAAAAGTATATAGTTGCAATCAATGTGGAAGGGCTTTTAGATTCTCATCCGATCTAAAGAGACACAAAGGGATTCATACAGATGAAAAACCCTTTACCTGTACTCAGTGTGGCAAGTGCTTTCGACTTGCCTCCGATATGAAAAGGCATCTGGTAACTCATTCTGACAAAACGCCTTATAGTTGTACTCAGTGTGACAAATGTTTTAGACTTCCTTCACAACTTCGGAGTCACCAAAGAACTCACACTGTAGAAAAGCCCTACAAATGCACAGATTGTGACAAGTCTTTCAAACAAGCTTCACATCTTTTACAACACAAAGTAACACACAGTGGAGAAAAGCCATTCAAGTGTTCCAATTGTGGCGATTCTTTGCAATATCAAGTTGATTGTGATGGACATGAACAAACTCACAGTGGTGATAAACACTTTCAGTGTTCTCAATGCGAAAAGGGAATCGAGCTTTCGTCATCTCTGCGAAGACATCTTCCAAAGAAGCCCCATCAATGTAGTTATTGTGGTAAAGGTTTTGCTCTAGGATCACAACTTAAGCGACATGAACGCATTCACACAGGTGAGAAGCCTTATAAATGTGACCAGTGTGAAAAGTGTTTTGGAGACTCTTCACATCTTAAGAGGCACAAAGCGATACATACTGGAGAGAAACAATTCAAATGTGCTCAGTGTGACAAGTGTTTTTCGCACCTCAGGAGAACGTAGTAGACATGAACGTCTAACTCACTCCAGTAAAAAGGTACAGACCGAGACAGAGTGTGATGTTACAAGTAGTGAAGAGCAAGGTATGCGTCACCAGTCAGAGCCAAATGTTGATGCTAAACACACAAAACAAGACATCTGCAGTTCAGAACATCATAATAATGAGCAAACTGATGCCAGCGAAAAACCTTGTACTGAACAATTACTGACAGAGACAGAGTGTGATGTTACAAGTAGTGAAGAGCAAGGTTTGCATCACCAGTCAGAGCCAAATGCTGATGATAAACACACAAAACAAGTCATCTGCAGTTCAGAAGATCATAATAATGAGCAAACTGATGCCAGTGAGAAATCTTGTTCTGAACAATTACCAGCTGATACAGAACATGGTCTAACCAGTAATGAAAAAAGTAATGAAGGGCAAGATATGTGTTACCAGTCCGAGCCAAATTCTGAAACTGAAACCAAAGAGCAGGATATTTGGACTTCAGGAGATCGTAACAAACATGAACAAGCATACGCCAGTGAGAAACCTTGTACTGAACAATTACCAGCAGCTAGCTAGAGACAGAGCATGATCTTACAAGGAATGAAGGGCAAGGTATTTATTACCAGTCAGAGCCAAATGCTGACGCTAAAACCACAGACCAAGATTTTTGCACTTTAGAAGATCATACAAAACATGAACAAACTGACACCAGTGAGAAATCTTGTACTGAACAATTACCAGCAGAGACAGAGTGTGATCTTACAAGAAATGAAGGGCAAGGTATTTATTACCAGTCAGAGCCAAATGCTGACGCTAAAACCACAGAGCAAGATGTTTGCACTTTAGAAGATCATAATAAACATGAACAATTCTGATTTTAAAAGCCAGGGAAACCCCTGCCAAACAAAATACACAGGGCTGCAAATAACAGTCGGTCATCGGACAATGACCGACCAAAATTTGCTTATGTCCGATGCAATCCAAACTGTGGTCAGACATAATGTCCAGACAATTTTTTTTGCCTTCCAACGTAAACGCCAACAAGTTTTATTTTAAATGCAAACTACATGTAGTTTACTCTTCGATGACAACGCGTTAAATTAGCAGGTTCGCTTATCAAGCAATACTGTAATATGATGTCCGACCTCATTTTTGTTTTGTCCGACCAAAATTTTTCTTAGTCGGACACATGTCCTTTCAAGAAAAAAAAATTATTTGCAGGCCTGATACATCATGTACATATGGGACACATTATACTACATACTGTGGGAGACACAGTGGCATAATGGTTAGTGCGCTGGACTTCGGATCAAGTGGTTCAGGTTCAAGCTCTGGCCTGGGTCATTGTGTTGTGTTCTTGGGCAAGACACTTTACTCCGACAGTGCCTCTCTCCACCCAGGGTTATAAATGGGTACCGGCCACAAAATGCGGGGTGGGGGGGGGGGGGAATATACCATCTAGGGGGTGTACATGTACATGTACCACAGCAATACTCCTAGCAGGCTTCATGCTATGCAAACCGGGATAAGCTCTGGCAGTGTGGACCAGTTGTTGCCCAAGTGCGGCTTTACATGGAAACATCACCTTACACCATACTGCATCTATGTATAAAAATCTACATGGTTTATTTTACTTGTTATACCAAACCCCCCATTGTCTCAACAACATATTAAAATGATTCACTTTTAAGTATAGCCTATTAAAAAATATGCTGTTGGCTTGTTAAGCTAAAGTTCATAAATATAATTACAGTGTATAGTGTACATGTATTTATTATATCCAGTTTATGTGTGTGTACAGCTGTATAATACATGTACATGTAGTGTCAATGAAGTTTGTTACTATCAACAAAGGTACAGGGGGAGAGTGTACACCAATGAAAGGAAACAAACTAATTTAAATACAGTCAAACCTCCCATCCATGACCAGCCATCTTGCCCCTCCGCCCCCCCCCCCCCCCTCCCCCCCAGCATTTTGTTGCGGCACTTGCCGGTACCCATTTATACTCCTGGGTGGAGAGAGGCACTGTCTTGCCTAAGAACACAACACAATGACCCTGGCCTGCGCTTGATCCCAGACCACATGAGGCCCACCGCATCTCCCATGTTTCACTAGTACAGAATTAACTAGGAGTAACCATGGGTTAGGAAGTGTAGGCGGAGTATCGGGGATTTCATTTGCTTCGATTTAGGAAATCGTTATTATGGCTGCTATGTTCGATTATTCAAACTCCGACTTACTTTATAATTTGGCTGCATGAGGTTACTTAGAAATGTGTTCACTAAATTATTATAACATGAGGTAGTTGCTCAGGAATTCATTTTCATAAACAGATCTGACATTGGCCTCCTCTCAATCACATGGTACTGAGTAGTGTTCTAATTTATTACAAATTATTTATTAGAAGAGAAAAAAATACTAGATAATAAACGAAAGAAACAGGAATGGGTTTCTTCAATGTTATTTTTATGTTTGGTTATAAGTTACCATGAAGGTGCTTAAATTATAACATGAAACTTGCCATATTTCTTTGTTACTTCATTAATTTTTATTCATTTTATTACAAAATGATCTATAAAAAAAATTGTATTTTGCTTGTCGTTAAGCTTGTACATAAGAAACTGAGTCCACAATAAAGCTGAAAAAAATTACATGTGTTCTTCAGGTCTGATTCCCTAAATTCACCAAGAAAGCACTTCTCTCTCTCTCTCTCAGAGCACTGATTCACTAAGGTCGACGAATCCAAGTGTTGAATAGATCAGGATTTTTCGCTTGCATGATTGTTGTGTACACTGTTTGGCTGTTTCAGTACAGGGTGGATAGACAATACATTGAACAGCGACTCGGCAGTGAGCTTTTCTTGTGTTAACTTGTTAAGTGCTTTCTCTGCTGGGTGGCGGCGATCATCCGAGGGAGGGGGCGTGGTCCAGTGATCGTAGTTGGTCTCAACAAGGAACCACCTAATGGTGTAATAAATGAAAGAAATTATGTGGATGAATGTGGTTGCTAATTTGTCAAATTACTATTTTGTCATGATTGAAAGGTTGTAACGTATTTACCCACGGATAGCTAGGCCGCACTTTTAAATGATGGAAAATAGAGCCAAAGTTAGGGGTGTGGCTTATATGCGGGTACAAGCCTTTGGAGGTAATTAATATGCACAATTTTGAAAGGTCAAACATCGAAACCAACGTTGCTATAGTTTGCTTGAAATTTTAATAACACGTATACATGTACAGTATGAAGACTCTCCAGTTCCCGATCAGTCCAAAGCAAATCGCCGATTTCCGGCTTCCATATGCTCCCATAAACATGACATCCACGTATTTTACTCTCCATTTCATGAGTAGAAGTAGCTCCTGCAATTTTTGTTCTTCTCTAGTTTGTACAGGAACAACGTTAATGCGATTCACAAAAAGGATTGATCAACCATTCAACCCGAATCAGACCGCAATGTTGTCATTTCATAATAATTTTATTTAAAAAAATCATAATTATTATGATTTTTTTTACCGTATGTATTTTTTTCCCAAAAAATTAGTTGAATGTTTAGGGTGCGGCTTATCTGCGGGTGCGGCCTATCTGCGGGTAAATACAGTAATCACCATAAAGCCTGGCTGTCAGATGTGGTTCATCAGTGTCAACTTTTGTTGTTCAGAAAATGTTCAAATGACACTGTGACTTTCTAATGCCATGACAAGTTGCTTGTTTTTTCTTATGCCATGCAACATGTTGCAACTTGTTGAATGGAATATAGAACACATCTCTATTCCATTTAACACCTTTCAACATTTGACATTTATAATAATATGCTGTTCATGACAACATTATTTGGTTGTTCAACAAAAAATAAATTATGTTGAACAGTGTACATGTGTCATTGAGCCCTTTTCCAGTAATATGCATTACATTGCATGTGAAACAATTTTTGAAAAATAATTGATCTAAATATGGCTGATTTTCACTAGCAACAAGATTGGAAGCAGATTCAAGGTGCTTGGCATCCTTCATCACACACTCTTGCCCATTGTTCATGAGAAAAATTCCATATACTTATGATGTGGCACTACAGATATCCATACAGCATCTTATTGGTTGCTATTTGTATCAGGAAAATCACCATTGAGTAGCAAACAATCAGGAACATGCCTCTGAAGTGCTAACTATCATTAGCCAGGATGGAAATTTTTGGCTTGAACCTCGGGCATCTTTTTCTCTCAGGTTTATTGTGGATTGAATGGACATGTGACAAAAACACAGTCTGTTAGATCTCAGGCTGAACACGGATGGTCTGCCTGTGTCATAGTGGGGGGGGGGGGGGGGGGGTCTGAACTTCCTACTTTCCGTACCTTGTTGTACTCTTGGTTCCTGCCCTTTCCGTTTTTGGGAAATTCCCACCTCTTTGTGCTTTTCCTATTGCAAAATATTACGCAAGCCAGTACGCAAGGCTGTGAAATTTTGTCCTTTTTCCCCTGGGAAACTTCCTTCCAGCCCTCTCTTCTCCCGCCTCCAGTAAACTTCCTGTTTTCTCCTAGGTTCCAGCCCCCCTTCACCCCTGCCCCACCCACCCCCACCCCCACCCCCCCCCCCCCCCCCCAACACACACAACATAAATATAAATATCAACAAAAGGAATGAATGCAAATTTTATGTACATACGGGCTCTTTGTGGCATCTGAGGTTAAGTTCCAGACATCAGCTGTGCTTTCCCTATTTCGAGTGACCACTGCACCCTCTCCGACATTCACTCCTCCGACTATCAGGTATCCATCTGCTATTAGGGGCACTTGGGACAATGTCTTCACAGCATGTTCAAAGTCCATCCCCTCTGTACTGATAACATCTCGGATCAAAAACGTGATAGGCATTGCATTCTTGTTGAAGATAGCCTCGAAGATGTTCTCCCATAAAAATCCCTGGTCTCTTTCATCCAGAGTAATGGTGACACCATTTGGTTGCTGTGCAGTCAAAAGTCCTACCTGGCCCGCAAACGTCACACCAGTGTACTTAACTTTACCTGGAAACAGAAAGGAATACAGTCCAAAGATGAAATGGGAGGAGTGATATTTTGGGGGCAGAGGGGGTACTCTCTATATGGCACTAATGGATGCTTGTATTTTTTAGGCCGGGGTTCGATAATCATATTTTGGCTCCACTTAGGGATTCAAATTTTCCCAGTTGCCACATATTATGGTTCAAAGTATGCCAATTTCAACTAAACATGAACTAGTTGTGAAGAATTGAAAACTGATCTACTTTTTGGGGGGACATGACTCTTGGCACACCAATGTCACTTATCAATCTACAGTGGTATCTCTTATGGGTAATATGAACCCAAAATTGGTACCTTTTAGGGGGCTTTCTCAAAATTTCTGACCAGCATCCCCCATCACATTTTATTTCGTGGTAGTCATCATGACAATAGACAGCTACTTGCAGTCTGTTTTTCTCTCAAAGCAAAAGATCTTACGAGAAAAGGGGGCCGGAGAGTCAGTATATCATGACAATAATATATATCACCTATGGTTTTCTTTCTTCTCCTATCAGTATGTATGATATTGGCCGTTTTCACACTAGAGACGGGAAACTGGGTTACCCAAAACTAGAGATGGGAAACTAGAGATGGGTTACCCATCTCAGACGAGTTTCCGTCTCTTGTGTGAAAACGGCCATTGTAAGGAGAAATTGGATGTGATCGTTCTTGGTAACAATAATGGGACCATGTGGCTGAATGCTTGAGGTCCAGTTCTTAATCAGACTAAAGCATTGGCTTTGTGTTCCTTTAAAAAAATTGAGTGCAATGACATCTAAATGAACTGCCTGCCCCTGTGAAAAGGTTTACTTGTTTGGTGGGGCAATTGACCCCCATCCTGTCCCCACCATGTTTCAAACTTGGAAAACAGAAAATAAGATTTATAAAATTAACTGTTCAAATTAATCATAGGTTCGACCCAGGTACTAGGTGCATCCAGGGGTCTCTAGGGAGGTAGCCCCAGGTCCACTCTTTTCGGAAAGAAATGTAAAATATGGGGAGGATAAATGGAATGCAAGGGGGGGGGGGGGGGGGAGGCTCGACAGAAGCATTTTACGATCTACCTTTGCTTTGGAAGTTTGATATGAAGGATGTATTACGCAAAACACATCCGAAAAAAGAGTAGTCCAGGTTCCTTCCATGGAAAACATTTCCGTGTTTATCCTGTGCGATCGATACTCGTACAAAACGCTGACAGGTCGTAGAAATATGTTGAGGCAATATCGTATCCGCCAAACTTAGGTTAAGTCCTTTGGACACACCCGTCATCTCTGCTGGAAAATGGCTCAGGAAAATATTTATCCATGCTAA